GGGCCTGCCTCAAGTTCCCCCGGTGTCCGGGAGCTGAGCTGCCCCTCCTGTCCACAGACGACAGCATGGAGGGGCTGGACAGCGAGCGGAGGCCCCACTTCCCCCAGTTCTCCTACTCGGCCAGCGGCACGGCCTGAGGGGCCCGCTGGGCCGAGCTCAGGACACCGCCGCAGGCAGCCACATGCTCCAGACGACGCTTCGGAGGATTGGGAGGAAGCCTCGCATGGAGGATCTGTATTTAATGTTTTTTATTTCTGGATGTGTTTGGATGGAACCACACCGCCCTCCAACACAGATGGGGAGGTGCCCCATGCTGTGGGCAGGGCTGCCCACACTGGGGGCAGAGTACCCCTGGCCGGCCAGTTCGGGAGGAAGACGTCCTGCGGTTTCTCTTAATTTATTCATCCAGTTCTCCAGATGCGGCCTCGGCCTTCGGAACAATTAGATTCCTGTAGGAAAACCAGGACTTCTGCAGCCGCGTGCACATGGGTCCCTGTGGGCCCTGCGCGTGGCCCCTCCATCCGTCCATCCGGCCAGCTGTCCCCTGCTGCCTCTGTCTCCCCCAACCCCACAGCCCTGGAAGCTGTCTGACTGTGGGGTGCTGGCCCAGCCCCCTCCTCGCTCGGGGAGGAGCTGAGTGGAGGCTGCAGGAGGGCGGCCCCCAGGATCGGGCCAGCCGGGGCTCCGGCGAGATAGAGGGGCCGGGTGCCACCTGTTGCTGTCTGTGCGTCCTGGGGTTCCTGATCTCAGGAGAAAGCCCCCCCTGCACCCCTGTCCCACTGGGACCGCCTCCCCGATGGCTCCCCGGCAGCACTTGTCCCTCTAGAAGCTTCACTCCCTGCTGTCGCCCCAGCCCCGCCCAACGCCTTCTGCAGGGGCTATCGCTGCGCCCACTGCACCTCCCGGCCAGACGCTGCGCTGCCCAAGGCGTTTTTTTTATACTCAACTTTAGTATTTTTACTATTATGAGACTTTCCCTCCAAATTCTTCAATAAAAATTGCTTTTCAACTCGTGGCTCGTTTCGCTGGGTGGCTGGCCCCCTCACAGGGCGGACCTGGCCTTCCTGCGCCCAAGGCATCCTGCCTAGAGGCCCGGGGATGACTTGTGAGGGAAGGTGTCCCCCACCCGCCTCTGGCAGGATTCACTGGGGGGTTGGGCGGAATGCCTTGGCTGCCTCTGTGCCCACGGCTTCACCCCAGCCCCACACCTCAAGCAGGCCACCCAGACTGCACAGCTGTCTGGCCAGCAGCACCACCCATGCAGCAGAGAGCTGACCATCAGGATGGACCGAGACCTTGCAGGGCCCACTGCTGGCTAGGACAGACACTCCAGCCACCGCCAGGCCCTGGGACCCGAGAGGCCCAGAGGACAGGCTGCCGGGGGTCACACGGCAAGCCTGGGACAGCTGGGAGAAGGCCCAGGGTGTCCAAGCGGCCCAGCGGGACTAGTCTCGGGCGCCACCTGGTGGGCGCAGAGAGAAGCTGGCTGCGCCGCACCGGCCTCCGAGCGGGACCATCCGGCACCTGCGGGGAGGGGCGGGGCCTCGGTTCTCCCCTCTAGTGGACTCCGCCCCGAAGGTGTGGGCTGGACGTTCTGGGGGGCGGGGGGGGCGGGGCTGGCGCCTGGGCCTGGGGACGGGGGCGCAGGCATCTCTCTCCTCCAGGCTCCGGGACAGGTGGCCCTGGCAAGGCATTCCTTGGGGTGGGGGGGCTGCCCGCTTGTGCTGGAGGGGTGCCTTAGAGAAGTGTGGGGTGCTGGAGGTCAGTCCAGGCCTGGGGGTGCCTCTACTGCTGCTGCTAAGTCGTTTCAGTCATGTCCGACTCTGCGCGACCCCATAGTCGGCAGCCCACCAGGCTCCGCCATCCCTGGGATTCTCCAGGCAAGAACACTGGAGTGGGTTGCCATTTCCTTCTCCAATGCATGAGAGTGAAAAGTGAAAGTGAAGTCGCTCAGTCATGTCTGACTCTTCATGACCCCATGGACTGCAGCCTACCAGGCTCCTCCGTCCATCGGATTTTCCAGGCAAGAGCACTGGAGTGGGGTGCCACTGCCTTCTGGGGGTGCCTCCCTTAGGGCCCAGTTCTGACAGGCTCTCAGCTATTTCACTCTAGTACGCAGCTCCCTCGGAAACCACAAACATGCCAAATGTTACCTGCTAAACATGCTTTAGATCAATTTCGGAAACAAAAAAACGTGCTTCGGATTGGAAGCCTCTGCACTGTTGCTGGGAATGCACCATGGCACAGCCCATGGAAAACAGTACGGAGGCTCCTCAAAACAGAGCTGGAACCACCACGGGACCCGGCAGTCCCACTCCTGCAAATATGTATGTGCCCCAGAGGGGTGGAAGCAGGGTCTTGAGGAGGTGTGCATTTTTAACACCATAGAAAAGGGGACAATGTGGAAACCAGACAGTACATCAGTACTTGATGACCCCCAAACTTCAAGCAAATGGTACCCCAACGTGGCCAGTGTGGTGTGGAAACCCGGGGTGGATGCCTTTGAAGCTGAAGCTGGGGCATGGCGGGGGGCAGCTGGCCAGGGAGAGGGGCTCGAGCTGCCCCTTCCCATGGGACCCCCTTGGGAGACACGGTGGTGGCCTCAGGGACATTCCTTGGCCTGGGACAGGCTTCAAGGTCATGGGCATGGACACAAGAGCAACCTTACTCTGTGTCCCATCCAGGTGGGTTTGGTCAAGAGGGGATGAACCGAGGGCGAAGACCCCAGAACATCCGGACCTTCCAGGAGGCGGGGCTGTGGAGGCACCTCCCCAGCAGAGTGGTGGGGTGCGGGGAGTCAGGCACCTCGGGGAGAAATTCCACAGGGCCATCCTGTCCTGGCCAGTAAGGCCACAGTAGACCTGGAGGGGCCTGGTGAATCGTGGCCCTGGAGCAGTGAGGCCCAGCAGGGCACCCTGGCCTGCAAGGGAGGCTGTAACGCCCATGTCCCACCCTGTCCTTCACCAGGCCGGCCCCCCAAGGGACAGGGAGACAGGAACAGAAGCGCCTTTAGCATCTGGGGTGCCCACGTGTCGGGCCAGCTCCCAGCTCCCAGCGAGGGGCCGGCCAGGCTGGGGTGTCGGAATAGCACAGGGTCGGGGCCTTCCCTGAAGGAGATGCCAGCCCAGGAATGTCTGTTCAAAGATGGCTCATCGTTCAACAGACTCACCCAGCCCTTCCCTCTGACTTTGCCTCGCTCTACTCGAAGTGGGTTTCTTGTCGACAAGGGGGCTGGCTGCTCTCGCTGTCTTGAGGGTCTTCACGCCCTGGGGGTGCCTGGCCCACATCCAGCAGCAGGTCGGGGGTGCCTGGCCCACCTCCAGTGGTGGATCCGGGGTGCTTGGCCCACCTCCAGCGGTGGATCGAGTCGCGGCTGAGCCTGAACACCATCGTGCGGCTCTCCTGTACGCCTCGCTGCTTCTTTATGCCTTCTTTCCTCTCTCTCTGCCTCATTTTGGATTAATGACTGTTGTTTAACATCCCATTTTCTGTCTTTTATGGCTTATTTCTATTTCATCAGCTTTCCCACTGCTGTCTCTTTTCAGTTCCAGGACCCAGGATCCCATGAGGAATTCAGAACAAGTGCTCTCTGCAGGAAGGACATAACTATGGCCTGGCTGCACTTGGACCTCGGTCTGTAACTGACTCACCAGCCTGCCTTTGAGACCCAGCGATCCACACAGTCCTCAGATCGCACACCTCCACCTCCCAGCTCCCTGCTGCGCTCACAGCTTGCCATCACGTTCAAAATCCCCAACATACATTATTCTTGTTTTCAACAACTGTCTTTTTAACATTTTAAATATCCTTAGTCGGTAAAACACATGTCGCGTTTACTGCTTCTGCCAGGCTGGTGGCATTCGGTGTGTTCACGTGGTCGTACCACCGCCACCACCACCTCCAGAAACGTTCACCTTCACAGACCAAACCTGTTCCCCCTCACCCACTGCCCACCTCCGCCCCACCCCCTGCCCGTCTCCGAGTGGACTCGCAAGACCGTCCTGTTGTGGCTGGCCTACTTCCCTCGGCTCGACATCCTCTGGGTCCGTCTGTGCTGTAGTCTGTCAGGCTTTCCTTCCTTTTGAAGGCCAGACCCTATTCCACTGTAGGGATGGGCTGTGTTGGCTTAGCCCTTGCCCCCAGATGGACGCGTATTCCTCTGTCCTCTTGTGAACGGCATTGCTGTGAACACAGGTGCACAGGCTTGCTTCTCTGCAGGGTGTTTGCCATAGGTGGGAGCGCTGGGTCACTGCGGCGCTGTCCTGACGCCGCCCCGCCTGCTGTCCACAGCCGAGAATGAGGCTCCATGTCCCCGCAGGCGCCCTGATGGGGGCGAGGCCACTCCTCCCGATGGTGACCTGTGTCCCCAACGATGAGCCATGCCGAGCCTCTCTTCCCCAGCTCGCCGGGGTCATGGTCTGCAGGTGGACGCGCGGACGGAGGTGACCCGAGGAGGACAGCCGACCGCCGACCAGGGCTTTGTACCATGCTCCCGGGGCTGAGCCAGGCGGCCCCGGAGTGTTCTCAACTCAGAAGACCCGTGACTCACTTGTGACCCCCTTTCTTAGACCTAAAGCCCCTCGCAGCGCTCCGCCTCCCTGCTCCCGGGGTCCCAGGCTCCGCCCATGGGGGCAAACCCTGCCCTGGCCAGCCCCCTAAGGATCGCGGTCACCTGACCCTCCAGCTGCTGCCCGCCCCAGCGCACCTCCCGGCTCTGCCAGGGCCTCCGGGGAGCCAGGCTGACAGCCCATGGGCTCCTCTTGGCCCGCAGCGCTGTGGGGGTATGTGTGTGGGAACCGGCCCTCCTTGTCCGCTGCCTCCCTCAGGCCCCACCCCCAGCCAGAACCCACCCTCCTTGGCAGGGGCGGCCGGGTCCCCGGGCCCAGGCCCCAAGACGGCAGCGTGTCCGGCGGCCTTTCAGGGATGGTCTGTGACCCGGCCCACCTGAGCGGCGGCAGAGCTCAGTGCTACTGTGTGGAGCCGGCAAGTGAGTCCTCTCGTCCAAATATAAAGCATTTATTGTCTTCAGTCGTCAGGAGCACAAAATACAAAAGAGAAAAGGCACCCTCCCCAGGTTCCTCAGTCGAGGCGGGGCGGCGGTCCCGGGGGGCGGCGGTCCCGGCGGGCTCAGGCCTCGAACACGGCGCAGCCGGAGCACAGCACTCGCTCGTGAAGGTCGCCCCCGCAGCTGAGAGACCGGGCAGGGGAGGAGCTGCGTTAGGGCTGAGCACCGTGAGAGGCAGTCACGAGGGGGTCCCGCCCCCCGGGCGACCGATCCCCCACGGCCAGCCCCCCGGACATGGACGCCCCCAAGGGGGGCGGCTGGGGCGAGGCCAGAATGAAGAGCCCGCTGACAAGGGGCGGCCTGAGGAGACCGCCTCAGCCCCCAGACACCAGCCCCCAAGGGACGTCCACCTGCGGGGGGTGATGGTGAACGTCTGGAGCCCTCACTGGAGCGGCCCCGCCAGCCACGGAACCCCGGGGCGCAGCTCAGGCCTCCCGGGGGTCTGGCCCCGGGCAGCCCCCAACTGTGCAGCAGGTGGACTGGCCCCGGGCGGCTCCAGAGAGGCAGAGAAGAGGCAAACAGGAGACCGCCCTGGGAAGGAGCTGAAGGGCCGGGAGGCGGCAGCTGCCCCAGGCGGGCGCCACAGCGTCAGGCTGTGGCTGAGCCCAGGCCTGGCTCTCAACAGCGGCCCGGCCCACAGCCCTACAGGAGCCAGGGGCCGAGGGGTCACCAGGCACGGGCAGGACGCCCGCTTCCAGGGCCATGCTGCAGCTCGGAGGCCCAAGGCCCGGCCTGCAGGGGGCCCTGGAGTGAGTCAGCTGTTCATCACACAGGGCAGGGCGCCCGGCCCGTCACGACCACGAGATGCAGGCAGGTGAGCGGTCGGCTCTTTGCGTGTTTGGGGACCAAGCAGCTGGGGGAGGCAGGAGGAAGAGGAGGCCCTGCCCCAGGGTCCGCATTCACTCCCCCGGGGAGGCCCCCCCCCCTCCCCAGGGCCGCACTCACTCTACCAGGGGGAGGCCCCGCCCCAGGCCCGCACTCACTCCACCAGGGGGAGGCCCCGCCCGCACTCACTCCACGTGGGCGCACAGGGCGCAGGCCACGGCTCCGCAGCTGCAGCAGGTGCGCACGCAGCGCGCACACAGGGCCCGCTCGCACTGGCCGCACGCCGCCTTCCCGTCCACGGCCCGCACGCACGACGAGCAGGCTCCCGACGCTGCCCCAGCCGGGTCTGTGCGGAAGAAACACCGGTCAGCGCAACGGTGACTGGGAGCCCTGAGACCGGGGGCCGCCCCTTGCCCCCGGGAGGACAGTGGGCCACCCTCCTTCCAGCGCCTGACCCACCACTAGTCACCCTGTGTAGAAGCACGGCGCTTGGACCGGTTCACCAGGGGGAGATCCCAGCTGGCTTCCCTGAGGCCCACCTGCAACTCTCAGCACCCAGAGGTCAGGAGCCTGGGCCAGCTCTTCCCCTGACCACCTGCAGCAGAACTCGCCAGGCCTTCAACCCCTGGTGCGTCTCACAGCTGGGCCTCAAAGTGTGGTCCCCGTGTCTTGGCTTAACACAGGGGCTCCTGGGCCCTGGGGGGTGGGAGTTTTTAGCCAGTGATGCACGGGACAGTCTGAGGCTACAGCACAGTGCAGAGGGATCTGGATGAGAGCTACAGGTGGAAAGCAGGCAGGACACCCACAAGGGTCACCCAGAGGGGTGTCTGCTCCTTTCTGATCCAACGGTTAGAGCTGTTCACAGCTCCCACACATCAGAGGTGGCAGAGCCTCCTGCAGTGGGAGCCTCCAGGCATTTGCCCCGCTCGTAGGCCTTACTCACCAGCCTCGGAGGCCTGCGCTCGACTTCGGGTCAGCCGGCCGTCGGGCCCAATCAGCATCTGCCCGCGCGCGGCCCGAGGGGCTTCTGTGGGGCCAGGCCTCGGGGATTCCGGCGTGTGGACGATGGCGCAGCCTTCCTCCCACGCAGGGTCCATGCAGGCCTGGGCCCCACGGAAGAGGAGCTGCGTGGTCTTCTCTGGGGAGGACAAGCATTGCCCGCTTACACCCCTGTGGTGTGGAAGCCCCCTACAGGGCTACCTGTCCCCGGAGCCGTGCGTGCTGCGCCCTCCTCTGAGCAGCCTTCCAGCCACGGGGACCAAGCTGCTCCTGGCGAGGCTGCCCTCCTGCCCGGGCTCAGCGGGCACCTCCTCCAGCCAGGTTCTGCACCCTGCGACCCCACCTGGGCTCCCCGTCCCGTCACTCTGCTCATTTTTCACAACGTGTGGCCTCACCTCCTCCCCAGAATCCACAGGCAGGCCTCCTTTGACAGAGGAAGCTCTGTGTTGTGGATCACCAAATAAAACACAGCAAGAGACTCAGAGCTGAGCCTGCAACCTTTCGACTGCTGCGGAGCTGCTGGCAAAAGGCACAGCCACAACTGGCTCCTGGCAAGGTACCCCAGAACTTTCCAGACCTCTGTGGGGCCCGGACATCTCCCTACCCCTGAGCAGCAGCTTTCCATCAGGGTACTACGGGCTTTCACAAGGTCAAATGCTAGGCGCCAGCCCCAAGAATGCTCTGTGGTTGTCTGCCCTGTCCCAACAGAGCCAGGGTGGAGAGCTTAGAAGCTGCTGGCGCTGGGTGATATCGACAGAAACACATGGCTGATAACTCAACTGAAGTGATGACAGCTTGCCACACCCAGCTCCTCCTCCTCCAGTCTCCCCATTCATAACAGGATGGGACTGGGGGGGGGGGGCGGTCATGTGGTGAGGCTAACACTTGTCTTCAAGGGCCTGTGGCCAGTTCAACATAAAGAGGCCAAAGTTAGAGACTTGGAAACATTACCCGTTAGTTCACACGGGCCTCACGATGTCCTGTCTCAGAGAACATCCAGGGAGCACAGCACTCCCCCCCGACAGGCTCTGCATGGGACAAGCTCTGCAGGTGCTCCCGGACGTCGTGGTCAAGAGCTGGATTGACTTGTGTGTGTGTGTTAGTCGCTCAGTCGTGTCTGACTCTTTGCAACCCCATGGACTGTAGCCTGCCAGGCTCCTCTGTTCATGGGATTCTCCAGGCAAGAATACTGGAGTGGGTTGCCATGCCTTCCTCCTGGGGATCTTTCCAACCCAGGGATCGAATCCAGGTCTCCCTCACTGCAGGAGGATTCTTTACTGTCTGAGCCACCAGGGAACCCCTTTCTTCTTTCTGTTTGCAGTGTTTCCATTTTTGGAATGTCCTGAGAGAGGAACAATTGCAGTTTGGCCCAAGTACCCTAGGCTTCTCATTTACATCACCTGCTAACCCCTCCAAAGTGATGATCAGTATTATCAATGCACTCAAAAATGTGCATAAGGAAGCCAGAAGGGAAGGCTTAGGTCAGGGCCCTCACATCTCTCCAACCGGACAGTCCAGCCGCGCTGAGCCGGATAGCACACTCCAGCTGCCTGGTTTTTGCACAGGCTGTTCCCTCTGCCACGAACTTCCTTCCTTTCCCTCTCTGCCTGCCTAACCCCGCAGGAGCTGGCTTTGACTCTGTTCCTCCAGGAGACCTGAGAGCCTGCAGGGGTCTTTCGGTGACCCGTGCCTGCCCCTCTGGAGAGTCCTCCTTCGACTGGCCCCCCAGCAAACCGGGAGGCAGGGTCTCCTGCAGAGGCACCGCCTGGCAAGGAGGGCGCGCTGCACACAAGCCTCTTGGGATATAAGGGGTGCCTCTGCCGGCTTTCCCACCGGGACGAGTCCTGGGAGGCGGGACCCGGTGGCCCGGGTGGCTGTCGTGTGGCTGTCGCTGGGCTGGTCAGATCAGAGCGGGCTCCTGTGAGTCCAGTATTCCCGCAGGACCGAGCCCCGACTCGGCCCCACGCAGAAGCCGTCCGTTTCGGGAGGCGGGGAAGGGGCAGCTCGTGGACGCGAGAGCATTCACGCCGTCCTACTCGCCGCTCCTAAGCCCGGTCTGGCGGCGGGCAACACGGGCCCCGGCTCCAGGGGGCGCGGTCGGCGGGGACCCCCCGCCCAGCCCCGCTTCGCCGCACTCACCGAAAATCTCTCGCGTGAGGCGCTCGGCGCACACGCCGCGACTCAGCTCTCTCTGGCCGACACGCACTTTGAGCTGCAGCGGGGCCGCATCCGCGAAGGGGCAGCCCCGCTTGGGCATGGCCGCGGCCCGGAGCGGCTCTGCTCGGCCGCCGCGCCTCTCTTGCCCGTGACGTCACAGCCGCGCGCCAACCCGGCGCGGAGCGGGGGCGGGACTAGTATGCGGCGCGACGCAGGATAGGCCCAGGGCGAGGGCGGGGGCGGGTCTTTTGCTCTGGGAGGTGGGACTCAGAGGCGCGGGAAAGTCCGGGGGGAGGTCAAGGGTCAGAGCGGGCGCGCCACGGGCAGGGAAACGGGAAGGCGGTGTGGTGAGAAAGCGCCGCGGGATAGGCTGGGGACGACGTGGGGGCGGGACTCGTGAGACACGCGGCCCGTGATAGGCCAGAGGCGCCATTGGGGCGGGACTCGTCTGAGGCGGCGAGGACTCATATGAGGCGGCGCGAGAAATGCGAGCGTATTGGCTGTTTCTTTGGTCCGTAAACAACCCTTTTTAAAAAAATTTATTCATATTTTTAATTGAAAGATAATTGCTCTACAGAACTTTGTTGTTTTCTGTCAAACATCAACATGAATCAGCCATAGGTATGACTCTGGAAACTCAGTATATTTCTTCCTTTAACTCACCAGTGGTCTGAGGAGGATTCACTTTTTCGTATTTCTTTATTTTTAACACCAGAAACATTTTGTATCGGGGTATAGCTGATTAACAATGTTGTGGTAGTTTCAGGTGAATAGCAAAGGGACTCAGCCATACATAGACATGTGTCCCTTCTTCCCCAATGCCCCCTCCCGTCCAGGCTGGTACAGTGTTGAGCAGAGTTCCATGCGCTAATTTTTCTTTATTTCTTAATTTGGAGGGACGTCTCGCCTTCACAAGTGGAGAGTGCCTTACACTGGGCCGTTCTGGGCCCTGCTACATCATTTGGAGCAGGTCTGAGGTAATGTTGGGCTCTGACCAAGCAGTGAGACTCCGGCCCCACCCAGGCTTCTTCCCGCTGCCAGCCAGCCTGACCCTTGTCCTGCCTGCCGGCTCAGGGGCCATCCAGCATGTTCCTCTGTAGCCTGGATTTCTGGTGACAAAGCCGAGGGCCTCAGGCTTACAGGACACGCCCCACATGAGGCACGTCACAGCCCTGGACACTGAGCCCTCCTAGAACGAATAGGGGCGAGGCCAGCCTGTGGTCCAGGTGCCCCTTCTGGCCTGGCCTGGTGGGTCTGGAAGACCAGGTCCGGAGGGGGCTTTGGCAGCATTCTCCCTGTCGTGTGGCTGTCGTGTGGTACTATTCCTGTTAGCCATCTGCAGTAACTGTGACTGAAGAGACGCTTGATTGGTTTTATCCTAGAAATAGACGAAATTCCCAGGAATATTGTTTTTAATCTTACAGATCTTGGGAATTTTAAAAAGGTTCTTTCGGTTCAGATTTGAAACTGCCTTAGACTCTTTTCAGTCACAGTAAATATTCAATAGATGCAAAACATTGTGATTAAAAGAATCTTGATAGCTCTTCTGTTTCAACTTAATTTTAAGAAATATTTGTTGAGGGCCTGGTCAGTGTTGGATTCCTTTTCTAGAGGTGCTAGTAACAAAACTCTCAGACTGGGGGTGTAGACAATACACATTTCTTTCTTTAGTTCTGGGAGTTGGAAGTCCCAGATTGAGGAGGGCAGAGCTGACTTCTCCTGAGGCCTCTTCCTCATCCCCTTCTCTAACAAGGACATCAGTCAGACTGGATTAAGACGAAGCCATAAGACCTCTTGAAAACTTAATTACATCCTGGTTTCTCAAAAAGTTGAAAATAGGACTACCATGTGATCCAGTAATACCACTTTGGTGTATACAGAGGAATTGAAACCAGTATCGAAGTGCTGTGCCCCCATGTTCACTGCAGCATTTTTGCAATAGCCAAGACATGGAGACAACCTAAGTGTTCTTCTATGGATGAGTGAGTAAAGAAATGAGTGATATTTGGAATTACATGTAATGAGATATTATTCAGCCATATAAAAGGCCATCCTGCCAATTACAACAACATGAATGAAGCTGGAGAGTGTTTTGCTAATTAAGTCAGAGAAAGACAAATATAGTAGTGTATAATTGCACTTACATGTGGAATTCAAAATCATCATAGAAGCAAAGTAGAATGGTGGTTGCCGGGCTCTGGCATTGGGGGAAACGGGGAGCTGATGATCTGATGGTACAGACTTCTGGTTATAAGATGGAGAAGTTCCAGGGTTCTAATAATGTACAGCTCAGTGACTAGAGTTAACAAGTATTATGTACTTGAAAGTTGCTAAAGGTAGATGCTAAATGTACTCACCATAACAAAAACAGCAAAATGGCAATTACATGACGTGAAGGATGTATTATCTCACCTTATCATGGTTTGCAATATGTATGTGTATAAAATCATGACATTGTACACCTTAATGTTATAAAAATTAAGAAACAGAAACCTCGTTTAAAATGGAGTCAGAGGGACTTGCCTAGTGGTCCAGTGGTTAAGATTCCAGGCTCTCAAAATAGGGGGCCTGGGTTTGATCCCTGGTTGGGGAACTAGATCCCACATGCAACCAAGAGTTCAGGCATGCTGCAACTAAGATCTCATGTGCTGCAACTAAGGCCTGGCACAGCCAGACAGATAAATCGATATTTAAATAAAATACAGTGGACTCAGAGAGAATTCCCTGGCGGTCCAGGGGTCAGGACTCTGCATTTTCACTGCCGAGGGTTGAGGGTTCAATCCCTGGTCAGGGAACTAAGATTCCACAAGCGGCATGGTCAAAGATTTAAAAAATAAATTGGAGTCAGGAGGCCAGAAGAGGGAGCAAGCACACCCTGTGTGTGTGCTGTGTGCTCAGTCGCTTCAGCCGTGTCAGACTCTTTTCTATGGACTGTAGCCCGTCAGGCTCCTCTGTCCATGGGATTCTCCAGGCAAGAATACTGGAGTGGGTTGCCATGCCCTCCTCCAGGGGGTCTTCCCGACCCAGGGATTAGACCCTATCTCTGGCGTCTCCTGCATGGCAGGCAGGTTCTTTCCCTACCGAGCCACCCGGGAAGCCAGGCGCAGCCTGCCACACCGCATTAGCTGCAGACCCAACAGGAAGAGAGCCGCTGGCCTTGCGTCACTGACAGGAGGGGAGGAGGACGGCTCCACTCCTGCAACAAGCCAGCCAGTGACGGCCGCTTACCTGCCGAAGTCTCAGCTTCCACCAGTGGACTCTGCTTAGGTGGGCCCCTCCTAATTATCCCTTCTCCTCTATTAAAGAATTGCCTCTTCTTTGTTCTCCAGACTTGCCTGTGGTTTGCCATAGATTGCATGTTCCAAATTGCAACTCTTGGCTGTTTCCGAATAAATCCATTTTGCTGGTCTCTTTTATTGTTGTAGGTCAACAGTGTATAATTAAGGTGTGCATTATATGTGCCAATTACTTGTTCTGTGTCAATTATATCTTGATATATGTTGGATCATAGGAAAAGCAAGAGAATTCCAGAAACAATCTACTTCCGCTTCACTGACTACACTAAAGCCTTTGACTCTGTGGATCACAACAAACTGGAAAATTCTTAAAGAGATGGGAATATCAGACCATCTTACCTGCCTCCTGAGAAACCTGTATGCAGGTCAAGAAGTAACAGTTAGAACTGGACATGGAACGACAGACTGCTTCGAAATAGGAAAAGGAGTACGTCAAGGCTGTATATTGTCACCCTGCTTATTTAACTTATATGCAGAGTTCAGTTCAGTTCAGTCGCTCAGTCATGTCCAACTCTTTGCGACCCCATGGACTGCAGCACACCAGGCCTCCCTGTCCATCACCAACTCCTGGAGTTTCCTCAAACTCCTGTCCATTGAGTCAGTGATGCCATCCAACCATCTCATCCTCTGCTATCCCCTTCTCTTCCCTCAATCTTTCCCAGCATCAGGGTCTTTTCAAATGAGTCAGTTCTGGCATCAGGTGGCCAAAGTATTGCAGTTTCAGCTCAGCACCAATCCTTCCAATGAATATTCAGGTCTGATTTCCTTTAGGATGGACTGGTTGGATCTCCTTGCTGTCCAAGGGACTCTCAAGTGTCTTCTCCAACACCACAGTTCAAAAGCATCAATTCTTCAGCACTCAGCTTTCTTTATGGTCCAACTCTCACATCTATACATGACTACTGGAAAAACCATAGCTTTGACTAGACAGACCTTTGTTGGCAAAGTAATGTCTTTGCTTTTTAAGATGCTGTCTAGGTTGGTCATAACTTTTCTTCCAAGGAGCAGGTGCCTTTTAATTTCATGGCTGCAGTCACAATCTGCAGTGATTTTGGAGCCCCCCAAAATAGTCTCTCACTGTTTCCACTCCCCATCTATTTGCCATGAAGTGATGGGACCAGATGCCATGATCTTAGTTTTCTGAATGTTGAGTTTTAAGCCAATTTTTTCACTCTCCTGTTTCGCTGTCATCAAGAGGCTCTTTAGTAGAGTACATTATGTACTCTATGCAGAGTACATCATGTGAAATGCTGGGCTGGATGGATCACAAGCTGGAATTAAGATTGCCAGGAGAAATATCAACAACCTCAGATATGCAGATGACACCATCCTTACAGCAGAGATTGAAGAGGAACTAAAGAGCCTCTTGATGAAGGTTGAAGAGAAGAGTGAAAAAGGTGGCTTACCACTCAGCATTCAAAAAACTAAGATCATGGCATCTGGTTCCACCACTTCATGGCAAACAGATGGGAAAAAATGGAAACAGTAGCAGATTTTATTTACTTGGGCTCCAAAATCACAGCAGACGGTGACTGCAGCCATGAAATTAAAAGATGCTTGCTCCTTGGAAGAAAAGTTATGACCAACCTAGACAGTGTATTAAAAAGCAGAGACATCACTTTGCCGACAAAGGTCCATATAGTCAAAGCTATGGTTTTTCCAGTAGTCAGGTATGGATGTGAGATTTGGACCATGAAGAGGCTGAGCACGAAAGAACTGATGCCTTTGAACTTTGATGCTGGAGAAGACTCTTGAGAGTCCCTTGGAGATCAAATCAGTCAATCCTAAAGGAAATCAACCCTGAAAATTCATTGAAAGGACTGATGCTGAAGCTGAAGCTCCAATAGT